ATTACCCTTAAAGGCTAGTATTGTGATTTACTATTCGATAAAAATTTATTTAAAAAAATGGTTGATATAGAACTAACAAGTTCCTAATATTTAAATGCGCTGTCCCCAAAAATAACGGAATATTAGATTATTAAAAAAAAAGTTACGTAAATATTTTCAAATTTAACCATAGTTTCAGTGTATGTAGATAATGGATGATTACAGATTTTGTTTTAATCCAGTGGTGATTTTTGTAATTTTTTTATGAAAAAATAATTCGTTAGAATCCAACGAAGTTTTTTTAGTGAAGATTAGCATATCAATTAGGAAAATTTATTTTATATATGAAATGACGTACGTATATATATCTTCGAATGTCATCGTTTAGAACTGTTATTTAAATAAGTATTATATGTTTTGTTTTTTTTTTCTTCCGTTTATTTAAACAACGGTTGCAGGATGAAACGAGAATAAGAAAGGTACGCAGTTAATGGAGTAGTTCTTAAAAGACTGAAAATGATTGCCACTCTTATTTATTCGATCCTTAAAAGAAAAGAATTATTATGTGTGATAGTTATGTTTTAATTGCAAGGTAATTTTTTCAAGTGATGCGTTTCTAAAAATGTGGCAATCTGTTTTTTATCAGGGTTGATATTACAAAAAAAAAAAACAAAATGAATAATTTGACTTATAAGCTCTATGTGTAGGAAAATGTAGATAAAGATATCTTAATTACTGCGTCTTTATAGCAGCAGGTTTTATATACATATATATTTATATGTGTAAGTTTAATGTCATCACATAGGTGGTATACACCTATACATATACGTATATCCCAGAAACCATCAATATGCTTTTGCGAAGGATTTATTACATAAAGTTAACCGTTTATTTCAGCTGTTTTATAAAAATTTCCTAAAGCTTATTGAATACAGTAGCGGGATATTTTTAAATTACTCAAATTAAAACAATATACAAAATTAATTAATTTGTTACATACATTTCAATTAATTAATTGTATTGTTTCTGTTAACTTTTTGTTGTAAATCTGGAATATTTATTTTTGTTAGTTAGTACCACAGGATTTTCTATGCTTGTATAATAGAAAATCGGACTAGACCTTGTGTATACTAAACTATATCTAATGATATGACGCGATATGCCATTATTTTTTGTGTTTATTAAACATTTACATTCCCATTATTAAGGTTTTTAAGTGCCTATTGTACGGTAAGATCACTTTCTAACGCTTTCTGTTTTTCCGTTCCTTTTTTTTTTATTTTATATAGTAAAAAAAATTAAAGGACAATCGTCAAATCGTACCATACCTACTGATAATTTTCATGTTTCTCATACTTTTATATAAATCATGAATAAATACCTTTAATATATTAGCAATTGTTTGTATATGGTAGTTTTCTTTCTATTGCAGGCCTAAAACCCAGCTAGGCGACTGACACGTCAAGTTTTTTTTGAAGAGTTTGGACTATGATACATTTAGGTTAGTCGAGGATAAGTTCTGCGGTCTCAAATTTTAAGCAAAACACTAGTCAAAATTTCTAGGTACGTGCAAAGGTGTGATCTTATATTACTATTCTATTCTATAATGTATTCAATGATCTTGATATATCCAAAATCAGAACTCTTGAGCCTAAACAAACTTGCAACCAAAACGGTCATTCCACTATGTAGTTATGTAACTTTGTATATATTTTTAATTTACAACCAAACCCAGCCTTAACCTTGTTTGTTATGACGCAGCATGTAGTTCCTAATCATTATTTACGCCATCACTTGTTTCAATATGGTTACGGTGATATGAAGTAACCGGAAAATTGAAGGCTCAAATATAGCGTCTGATACAGTCGAGGCGTGGTTAGGTTTTGGTCCAATTATTATATGTAACAATGGTTAGTATTGATGTACTCTGTTTTTCGGTTTTATTCAATTCCTTCTTATTTCTAAACTTTTCTATCGACGGGCTTTTTATTATCTACCTATAACACGCACACTGTCCACGTTTCGTACCCGTACAGAGCTGTGCTTTAAATATAGATTTTTAATAATATTTTGTAAATTAATCGTTCGCGAGCACAGAATTTCTTTTATTTAAAGCGACTCGAACCTGCCNATTTTGCAATCTATTATGTGCGCGTACCGCATAGTAAATCACGAACCTGACTGGGCAGATTCGCAAGAAAGAAACGAGAAATAAATTATTGTAAACTTTAACAGCTAAGCATTGAAAATACGTAATTAATTTGCAAAAAAATTATATGGTTAAAACGCCGCTGAATGTAATTTAATGATAATTTCTGCCTGCACATTGTATTACGAAAGCAAAATATTACGTGCTACAATGCTATCTACGTCATTTAAAAAAGGAACAAATGTTACCGCTGTCGTATCAGTAGTCACTATTTAAATTAAACCGATACGCGGAAATAGGCACTGATGGTCAGGCTGATGGTGTTAAAATTGGTAGTTGCCTTCAGTTGTCTTTGTTTAATATTATTGTAAATAATTTCTAAATTATTAATTTGTAAGTTTCAGAAAGAATGGTTTTAATGTTTTCATTGCAATGTCAATCAGTATAACAGGGTTTATGAGTATGAAGAAAATACATCCGTACCAATAAACAATTTATTGTTCCCTCTACGTACAGAACGGCAAAAACTGTTAAGATGACAACAGGCAACAATATCGAGACAGAATATTTGGAGCTCAGCTCGAAAAATGGATGGCCCCTTTTATACCAGGTAAATATTTTATAATTTACTTGATGATATCATCAATTATTATACACTTTCCAGTAAAAATTTTCATCAAAAAATAGTGTCACATTGTCTTAACCTCAACCTTTATTCATGTATTTTACTTGTATGTTTTTTTTAGCAAATTCGGACAGAAAGTGCAAAATTTGGTAACAGTTTCTCAGAGGCAATTAAACCTCAAAACAAAGTTCTGAACAGATATCGTGATGTGAGTCCTTTTGATCACACTAGAATAGTCTTGCAAAAGGGTTCATCTGATTACATCAATGCTAATTTAGTTAAAGTTGAAAAAGCTAATAGGCAGTATATATTAACTCAAGGTCCATTGCCACATACCATTTCTCACTTTTGGTTGATGGTATGGGAACAAAACACCAAAGCTGTTCTTATGCTCAACAAATTAGTTGAAAAGAAACAAGAAAAATGCAGTCAGTATTGGCCAAAGAAAGTGGGGCCTGAATACAAGATGATATTTGATGATGTTGGTCTATCACTTGAATACCTAGAACATCAAGACCATTCCTACTACATGAAAAGAGTGTTAAAACTTGTGGATGTAGAAAGTGGAAATTCTAAGGAGGTTTTGCAATTTCATTATACTACTTGGCCAGATTTTGGAGTACCCAATTCTCCTGTAGCATTTTTAGAATTTTTATATAAGGTGAGAGCAGAAGGTGCCCTTCAACCTGATGTTGGCCCTGCTGTAGTACATTGTTCTGCTGGAATAGGACGCTCTGGAACATTTTGCCTTGTTGATTCTTGTTTAGTTCTTGTAAGTATGCTTAAATTTCAATTTTAAATTTAATAATCTAATGTTTACCTTGTATCCAACTACAATGATTGTTATTTTTTGTTGCTTAACATCCACAAGGTGATAAACATATTCAAGGGTTATTCAAATGTTATTTTTCAAGCTTCATTAACTTCCTTTTTTGTTTTCTTCAGATGCATTTAAAGAAAGGTACATTTTCATTTATATACATGCCGAACATAAGTTTTTGTCAGTATATTATGCCCGACGAAAAGTTTAAAATGTGATATGGCGAGGATAAAAATATATTTTTATATTCCACTCTTATCGTGCCATACTTAAATTAAATTAAAAGGACAATATTTTGTTTGAAGTGATTCATGTAGCAGTATAAATGAAACTATACCTATGGTGTTGCAATTAAATACTTAATCAATCATTCAGGCAACTTAACTTAAATTTTTCTAGCTTCTTAATACTTCTTAATATTGATTATTTCACTTCAGTGAGAAGGTGTTAATTAGATGTGGTCATTTATTTATTTTGGCTATATAAGTTGTTGGGTTATAATATACATTTAAGGATTTGTGGTCTAAGAAAATTGTCGATTTTAAATTATTAATTGCATAATTTGTTTTCAAAATAATTTCAGATTGAAAAATACGGGTTAAATTCGGTGGACGTTAAAGAAGTCCTGCTAGAAATGCGCAGATATAGAATGGGTTTAATTCAAACTCCTGAACAATTGAAATTTTCCTATCAAGCCATCATAGAGGGAATAAAGCACTTGTCACAACCCAACACTTCTGATAAAGAGGTATTAAAGATTTTTTTTGTTTTTATTAACGGTTGATAAGAATTTTATTTTTCTGATAGAGGTTTAGAGAAAATCAGAAGAATGGCAAACGTAAGTGACTTTGAATGAGACTGCTACATTTTATTGACTAAATTTTAAAATATTTATTTCAATGTTATATAATAAAGTAGATGGTATAAATATAATATAAAATTGTTTGGTGTATTTTTTGTAAAACATGTTGAATATTTACAAGAAAACATTTTCTTAGTGTAAACAATTTGTGTTTGATAGCTAAACATTTTTTTAAATTTAATTTTGGGAATAAGTATTTTAGGTCTAATCTCTTTATCTTACAGTATAATTTTGTTTCGTTTAGTTTAGAACCCAAAAGGTGCAATATAATAATGTAAACATAACACTATTTTGAATGGTGTTTTCGGTTTTAAACGGTTATACAGTGTTTTTGTTTGTTTAAGTCTATTATTTACTTGTTTAATTTTTATTGTCTTTTTTTATAGAATTCGAATTCAGACGTGGTGGTAGTTAATGACAATGATTTATACGAGTCAAGTTCGGAAGAAGACGAGCCTCCGCCTTTGCCTCCGCCAAGATTAGACAGTTTAAACAGAGTCTATGACGACTTTCCAGTCGATAGACCTTTGCCGACAATACCTAACAGCACTTCTTTAACTGATTTTGCCTATGAAGAAAATGATAAAGTGAATGTAAGTTCGAAAAAAAAAAATTTTTACTTATTTTCAGTTTATCAATTTAGAGGTCACCATTTATGTAGAAAATTAAAAAGTAATTGTAGTATTCGTATATTGCGTGCTTAGGAAATTTATTGAAAAAATTTTTCTTTTACAGCGACTTCTATTTTAGAATATACTCGTATACATAAAAACGAGTGCTTTTGGTTTATTTTTTTTTTTTGTTGTGTATATATCACTAAAACATTTATCCGATTACAATGAAACTTTGTTGTACAACCCCAAGGAAGATTTCTGAATTAAAAAAAAAATTAAAGAACAAAGAAACATTCATACATAAAAAACCCAACAATTTCGATGGTTTGAGTGGTTGCTTGTCACGCTGACAAGCTAAGATGGGCCGGTTTCTATTCATGAATTTTTTATCTATTGTCACCGGCATGGACAGTGCGGAATATAATTTTTATAATTGTTACTTTAATAATGGGTTTTTATTTTCATGTTTTATATTTTATAGAATCAATCTCCACCTTTACGACCATTACCTACTGTCACTCCTGGGGATGAAGGCGAAAGTAGTGAAGCTGATGAAGTTGAAGAAGAAGAAGAAGACGAAGACGAAGAAGAAACTAATAGTCTTACCGAAGAAAAGACAGAAAACAATTGTGTCACTGGAAAGTAAGTTTGTTTCTGTTATTGTTATATTTTGTATAAGTTATAATTAGAAAGCCTACTTCTAATGTACAAATCAAACGATAATTCCTGATTTTTAAAGTTGTGGAAAATGAGGAAGTTGCACTGTTCATTACATTTGTTACTGTCGTGGTTATCATCTGCAACAATACTAACAGAGGCTAAGAGGGTTGAAATTTCCCCAGCCTGGATTTTTATTTTTAAATTATTCAAAAGGACGTATTTCAAAACCTCTTTTGTCAAATTTTCTGCCTCCTAGGTGGTAATAGGACGATCCTATCGTAAAAGACATGTTTAAAAGCTGATTGATAAAAAAAAAAATGAAAAAAAAAACGACTTTTTTTAGATTTTTTGGCTAAAAACTGAACCCAGGAAAAATATTTGAATTTTTCAATGAAATTTATGTTGGCTAGCTTGTTAGTAACGTTTTTGTTGTGAATTTTTTTCCATATTTCAGAATGCTGGTGTTAGAATTACCATTTTCAGACCAGAACACGCTCAAAATTTAAAAACCGTTTTTCCCCCTTTTTCAATATTTTTTAGAGATAACTTTAAAACTAGATAGTTTAACAGGTACTTTGGCAATTAAAAATTGGGATTCCGAAGCTTTTTTCAGGTCTATAAAGTTTGTAGGATAAAGTATTACTTCGCTGTAACTGCAAATTACAAATTGTAATTAAACCAGCTTTAGATACAACAAATCTATGTATTATAGGAAAGTTATTAATTTATGCTAAAAGATGCATTTTAAGATGTGAAATTCCAATTATTTAAATTTCTTAGTTTATATTTTTGTTTTGTAGTATATCACCAGAAGCAGAACTGAGGCATCGTCAGAGGGCAGAGCGCAAAGAGACGTTGGCAGCGAAGGTGCGCGAAATGAAGAGACGGCAGCAGGCCAACGAACAGTGGACGCGACTCAAGAGGTCTCTATTCAAGCCATTTGTTATTGTCGGCATTGTGTCCGCACTCGGCGGCGGCTTGTTGGCCTATTTTTATTATAAAAGTTGAACCGGCGAATGTTCAGTAATCAAGTAACAAAAAAAAAAGTATATGGTAACACTAAACATGAATACGCTAAAAGCATTTAGTATTTTTGGTTAATCATCCATTAACGCGAACGTAAATAAGTAATTAGTGCCGAACGGGGAAATATTTTGCCTATATTACTATAGCAGATATTGACTGAGTATGTGATAGTAAGTTAATGGTATTAACATTATTTTTTTTAAGTCACAAAATATATAGTACATCCCAACTCGTAA